CAACTGCTCGTAACGCCGCTAGGATGATATTCACGTCATAAGAAACTGAGGCACAAACATTGGTGTGTCCAATCCGCCCCTTCCCGGTGCGGCAGCGCATGCTCGCTTTCCCAGCGGAAAGCTCGCAAGGCGCTTCTTTATATTGGATTCTTTCATCCTGGCGATTGCAGTTTTCCTAGCCTTTATCCGATTTCTGCCAAAACGGGCCAGGGGCCGCAGAGGAAAATGAAGTTAGCTTCGACCGCTATACTCTGGACCCACGGAACACCATTGCCGCGCTGTGCAGAACTGGAGAGGAATCTAGCAATACAGAGCTTTGCTCCAGGAGGCAGTCCATATTTCCATGGTAGTGGCAATTTTTTTTTCCATTTTTCTCTATTCAAATGACTCTTTGCTCTCTTCTCCTCACTCTTTAGTATAACCCCCCTTCTGCCGCCGCTGATACGATCAGCCCTGCGCCGGTCACGCGCCGCCGCCAGATGTGAAAACACCGGCGTGCCGCCGCCGGCAATTTTGGTACCGGAGGACAGGTCTTGTCAACAGGCTCAGACTTTTTTTTACCCCCTCTTCTACCCCAAAGAAGCTCAGCAATTCGTAGAGTAGACAACGGCAATCATGTTTTCTGAATAATACAGCGCTGCATGCTGCGCAGAGCCTCCATTTTGAAAAACAATTCTCTCGTTCCTTTCCCATGCTTGACCAATCCTCCTTTCATGCGTAGGGATGCAAAGTCGCTGAGTCGTGGAAATTGGGGGGTTGCTCGTCCTGTGGGGTGGCTGTTGCAAGAGAGCGTCTCTTCGCCGGCCCGCTCGTTTTCTCCAGCCTCCCGGTTTCTCTCTCCCAAACGAGGGTTTATTTCCTCGCCGAGGGAGGGTAACCCGTTTCGTGAGCTGGGAAAAAGGAATAGTGCGCGCCGGTAAAGGGCCCCCTCGAAAGAGACTTCATTGTCTCTGTCAGGAAGGGACCAACATGTCCTCACATCTAGGCTGCCGTGTAAGAGAAAGGAAGCGTGGGTGTGCAGGCTTCCCCACAAAGCACAGACTTTTCAAGCAGTAAGAACATAAAGCACAGGTGTAAACTACCCTTTCAAAAGTGGCTTCGAATACACTGAATCCTGATCATCCAAGCTATGGCCTTGAGACCACCAGCTGTGTTCTTCCCTGCCTTATGGAACTTTGTTGTTATGATGTTCTATACAAGATTTGCAAGGTCATGATGCAGCGTTCTCTTGGTAGCGCCGGCCATAAAAGTAGTGAATAAAACGTCACAAGTCGAAAATGATGGCGAGAGCTTCTTTCTTTTTTTCTTGTGCATAGTTGCGTTCAATTCTTGTCAATGTCCTGGAGGCAAATACAACTAATCTCTTGCTGCTATCCGGCATTCTGTGAAAAGGTACTGCTTTGAGACCGTAGGCTGAAAAGTCAAAGCTGAGTCCCAATGGCTTACTGACGTCATGAAATGGGAGGATTTCATTGTCACAGATCATAATCTTAATGGCTTCAGATGCCTGCTTGAATTCCTTTATCCAGCACCACTTCTGTTCCTTCTTCAACAGCTCGTATAAAGGCGCAGCCGCCATGAATAAGTATGCCAAAAACTTCTCGTATCAATTGAGAAGTCCTAAATATGCCTTATATTCTGTAAGGTTCGTAAGCTGTGGGGCATCTTGTATTGCCTTGATCTTGGCTGGTGTCTGCTGAGAGACCTTGCGTCCCTAAATAAATGACCAATTTTAGAAAACATGACATAAGGCTTCTTTAAGGGTGAGGTTGAAGTGACTCAGTCGCTCTAGAACGTTGGCCGCTGTGGTGTAGCAATTATCTGTGCTGCTTTCAGCGACAATGACATCGTCTCTGTAGCAGCCCACTTGAGGAGTGCCTCCTAGCACCTTATCTATCAATGCTTGAAATATAGCCCATGCACTTGCAATTCCAAATAATAGTCGTTGGAACTCTAACAATCCAAGATGTGTGTTCAGTCAGCTGCGGTTTCACATCCTTGCTAAGTGGCACTTATTGGTAAGGAATGAGGTCTTACACACAGAACGCTTTGTCATGCGCAAGCATCAATTACGATTTTTCTGGAAAAGGATGTGGGTAGAAATCTGTTTTCAGCACTTGATTTATGGCTGCCATATAGTCTCTGCCGAGCCTTATCCCACGTACCTGCTTAGGAACTACCACAATAGATGTGGCCCAGTCGCTATGCATTACTCGCTTTGATTCCGTATTTTTCCAACCTTCGAGTTAGTGGTGACTTCTTCCTTGAAAGCAAATGGAATTGGTCGTGCTGCTTGCTTTTATGGCAATTCTTGCTTCGAAGTTCCTTACTACTATCAGCACACTATGGAATACCTCTGGGAATCTCTGTTGAAGCAAACTCATTTTTCTCTTTTCTACAACTGCATGCGCTGTTTTCTAGTCAAGCTGCAATTTTTCTATCCAATTGCAGCCAAGAAACGTTGGCAAACCATTTTAATCCTTTACGACGGAGAGTGGCATTGTCCTGATGCATCCCTTAAATTCTACCCTGACATCTGCCTTTCCTTTTATTCAATCTTAATGGTTCTCCTGTATATGTCCTCGGGAAAAGCTGTTGAATGGTTCCATTTTATATGCATGAAAACTTCCTTCAATACGCTTCCAGGCGTAAGATTAATTACTGCACCAGTGTCCAAGAGCATTGTTATTGGTTTCGATATTGGTGTTGCTTTCGAGCATTAGTATTGTCCAAAAGCAATGTTCCTTCAGTATTTACTTGTACTTCGTACTCCATTTGCCCCCCGATGCGCATAATATGACATGATTAATCTGTGACTCCTCGAACTCTTCGTTATAATCTTCAATACAGTTTACCAAGCCTTTTTTATTCGCTCGACAAATTTCTTGCAAATGCTCTGTTCTTTCGCTTGCTCGGTATTTTGCATTTTGGTACCTGCATCGAGCTGGATTTTGCCATATTCTGCAACGTTGACAGACTCTCTTTTTTTTTGCTGAGCAATTTGTCTCATCACTAGACACATGGTATTTTCCTTTGAAACTTCGACGCGCCACATCAGCTTCCATCAGTCTCGCTTCTTCAATGCGTAGTGCCTTCATTTGGCAGTTAGCCGATTCTTTCATTAGTGTGATTTTGCGTGTGCCTTCAAATGTTAAGCATACTGTTGCTAACAAAACCCTTTGCACCTCTAGGTCTTGTAACCTTGCTACCAGGTGAATGGATTTCTCAGAGCATCAAAGAAATCTTTAGTTGCAGTTCTTGGCCACTTGCTTGAGTTCCTTCAAGAAATCTGATGCCTTCACCTTCAATTTATTTTTATTGATTTCATATACCCTCAGGGTACAAGTAGTAGATTGAAGAGGGGAGGGGCAGAAGTTAATATACATTAACTACTTGGTTATAGGTACAAAATATGGATAGTAAATATCATGGTGACACTTAACAATTGGGAGTTACAAAACAAAGGCAAAAGTAGGCATAACTAATAATGCAGTAATCAAAACACTTAATATACCAGAAGTGTTATAATATGAGCTCGTTGAATATACCTACAATCAATACACAGCCAACAGGTAAAGAAACAATGGGAAAAATGGTAAAGTTGTGATAATGGTAAAGACGTAATGCACAAAAGTAATAATTTTTAAAACGAAATTTCTAGGAGCATACAAATTTCTTGATTCTTGTAGAATTCGCCTGTTAAACTTGCAGTGTTGGTATTCACGAAGTATTGTGGACTGTAGTGGTCTTTTAACAACATCCGCTTTTGGTTGAAAGTTTGTTGGTGGATTTGTTGGGAACCAAAATTTTCTTGAATTCCTCGTACGTTTAAGCGCCCACCACATTGAGGAACAACTTCCGTTTTTTTCGCTGCTGGCACTTCGTCGATGTCAATATTCGAAATACGATTTCATATTATCTTTCTTTGGATCAAACTCTAATAAGCTCCCTAAATGACTAGAGACACGGGCCGTATCCATTATAAAGAGCAGTTCACTTATTTTTTCGGGCAACTACTCCATCCTTAGCGTCATTCCTGCCTCTGCTATAGTCCGTGTTCACACAGTCATAAGCCATGTTCAACTGGCCGTCGCGCCGAGATGCTGCTGCGGCGAACCACCCATTGTTTGTTGCCAGTTAGTCTGTGCAGCCAGGGCATGCATTCAAGCCGATATATGGTTAGAGAGCCAGCCAGATGAAGGCATCCGAGATTGATGCCAACGCAGTAAAGACAGGAGTGTCTGAACAAGTGAAAGGTGCCAGGAAGAACGAATCTTTATTCACATTTAACGTGTGCCTCTTAGCTCGGGCTAGTTATGCCAAAGTGATGCGCCCAGCACTTTATTTTTATAGAACACATTCAAAGGTTATTAGTTCCTATACACAATAAGACTACTAAATTATACATTTAGTCTAGAGAAAAATTTTATATGCTTTAAAACGTATGAATGTTCTCTCATCTTCCCAATAATTACATTACGGATGGCAATAACTTTGATAAAAATAGAAAGCTACATTGATGGTTTAGTTATAATCCTTGATTGTTCTAAAATATCTCCATATAAAGGTTTGTAGGATATTCAATGATTAAATTGCTGAACGATTGGGTAATCTGACTATTGATTATTTATTAAACATCTCAAACTACTTTAGATAAAAGAAAATAGATTGCATATCTGCTTATAGTAGGTTAAAATGTACATTGCCTGAAAATATCGTGTAAATGTGATAATAAATCATTTGTTTTAGAACACCAATTTACCCTTTAAGAAAATAATGATTTTCTTTTATGGTTGGATGAACAAACAGTCTGAAGTGGTTCAGTTTAACTACAGTGTAATGTTGACCTTTGTCCTTAGATGATAACTGGTGGCACTTTTTTTATAGCCTAGTATAAAATGTATGTCCACTAGACGGAAGAGTGTGAAATAATGTCTAAGCAATTAAAGATGCTTTTATTACAGTATGCATTCATTGCATTTAAACGTAATGCGTTACAGGGACATGGAGGCCAGGAATCTTTTGAGCAGGATGAAGATGTTGAACCAGTCACTGATAAACCTGACGATATGTATGTGGGTGTTCTGAATGCATGCTTGCATGCATATGAGTCTGCATGTGCCACTGTCTATGAGTGATATTGAATTGCGACATTGGTGGTTTATTGAAAAAGAAAGGTATACGAGTTCTTTGCTGATGTCTGTCGAGAGAGCACATTTTTCAGTGATTGCAGTATTGATCTACCTATGTCTCTAAGTACAAGACACCATGAGATCAAGAGAATTACATGGCATGTGCTGTGTCGGACAGGAACATGCTTAATCCGGAGGCAGGTTTGTGAAGAGGCCGATGATGGGAGGGCGTGTAGAGTGACGCGCCCTCCCATCGTGACCTAGACCAAACTTTGGCGAGACTGACAGGAGACCAAGCACCCGCGTTTATTGCAGGTGGTTTTATGGAAGGGGAAGACAGGAAAATGGTCTGTGGGACCCAGACCACACTACTGGCATGGCCACGCTGGATTGTTGGCAGCAATCAAGCATGGAGGAGGACTAGCTCCACTGTTTTGAATCCGAACCTGCATTGCTTTACAAAACTCTGGTGAAAAGGAATGTTACTACTGCACGGAGTGAAGCAGTTTTAGGAGCTTTTTCCTCGCGCTTGCGGCTTGTTCATCATCGTAGCCACTCCCTTGGTAACGATGACGCTGATGACGATGAAGAACAAGCACGTTCCAGAGCACGTATTCTCTTTCTGTCATCACGGCACAGCACATGCAGGGTACCTACATCATCTAGAAATATCAAGCCATACCGCCTGAAATGGACGACGTTTGCTTTGCAGACTTTGCTAGCAAGTACCGGTGAAGCGTCGACGGCACTTGTGAAGTGAGAGCAAAACAATGCTCTTCAAAAGTGAAAACACCGCGAAATTGTAGTGAAAAACAATGCATCAAACCACCAGCTTTCTCTCACCAGAGCAAGGCGAGATCACGTGGTACAACCCTGCACATCATTGCAATTGTTGCGCCCACTCCTCCAGTGGTAGGCCTCGCGCCCAATATACATTAGAGCTCGTAAAAGTTAAGTGTGTTTGGCTGTGTTTAGGCTGTCTCAGTTTAGGCAGACTCAGTAAACAACGACCACGAGTCTGCATGCTGCAGCGCAAAAGTATAACCAACTACGGTGATTGAACCCTACCTATTTGGCACGATGAAATGACTACGAACCGGCAGTAATGAATGGGCCCAGACCTTACTCTGGGAGAACATGAGGTGGACGCGGCAAAAAGTGGGCTATGTGAAGTTTGCCTTGTGTGGCATGGGCCAAGTACAAACAATTGCAAGGCCCCCGCTTCGGCCAGTAGGGCCACAGTCAAAGTTGCATGTGAGCTTTTGGCGCTGCAGTTTAGACCTAACATTCATCTAAAAAGCCACATTAAGCTGCTAAGATTGACGAGCTTCACTGTTTAAGCTTTAGGTGGCTAGTGTGAACTTCAGTTTTTGGTCACTCAATCACTCACTAAGGATCTTTATTGCCCTCGAGTATGAAAAAGTTTTAGGTACAAAATATACACATCTGTGCTGGAAACTTATATGAACTGTATTTCCTCCCTGATAATTTATTTTAAAAAATAGAAAAAAAGTAATCCCTAAACATACCAGATGGGAAAATCTAATGCAGAATTGTTAGCATAGAATCGGGTTGCTTGGCGTCTAAGAGTTGCTTGGCCTTTAGAATTGTCGCTTGTTCTTAATACACCACACTGAAAGATGAGGAAGGGTTGTGGTAATCTTCATCTTTCTTAGATTACAATATTTCTTACAAGAAAAATGCATTTCGCATTTGTTTTGACATAATTCTGTTTTATCCTGAGAACAACACAGTGATGCGATAGCTGCGCTAATTGCGCCAAACTGCGCCAAGATGGGAAACCTGCTACATCCTGCTACATTTGCTGCTTTTCGCGCCAAAACTGCGCCCAATCACAAAATGGTATCAAAAAAATTGGCCCGGTATCTGCATGTTTCACTACAAATGTTGTTGAAAGATGATAGTCTTGTGTCTGGAGAGAGTGAACGAAACGTTTATTTGATGTATTGCACGAGAAAATCGGTGCATTGTATTTTGGATGCGCTGCATTAGAGTACCTCGATCCATGCAGCGAAGGCAAACGAGCGTATCGAGAGAGAGAGAGAAAAACGTTTATTAGGTGGTGAAAGAGTGAATGGGAGAAAGTCTCTTATTTCAGGAACCCTCTGGGTTGAACTGCCTGCCGGCCCCACGCGACGAGTTGGCGTTGGTCGATGAGGTCCGGCTCGGAGATCGCAGCTTCCCAGGCTTCACTGAGGAAGTTTGGGTCTGCATTTACTACTTGTGCTTGAGTGGCTGGGTTGCTGCCTTTGTATTGCAGTAGCAGGTGGGCTAGGGTGTCTGCCACATTACAGTGCGGGCAGAAGTAGTCATATGACGCTAATTTGAGGTGATGCATTAGAATGCCATGCGTAAATGTATTGCTTTGAAGGCGCCCGTAGTCCGTGCTTTCATCTCGTCAATGTTTGGCATGCGGGGGATGTTAGAACCTGCGTTGTAACCGATAGTGTTGCAGCAGTTTGGGATAGACTAAAGGCATCGCTTCGGTTTCTTCTGTTGGTGTTCTGGTGTGAGAGGTGTTGTGAATTTTGTGTGGGGAAGCCCGGTTGATGCATTTGCGGGCCGTGGCATGTGCTGCTTCATTCCCCTCGAGGCCCCTCGAAGTGGAAAAAGAGTGTCGACGCGTTTCAGAAATTTTATCGGTCTTGTGGAAATCCTTCCTTTCAGATACTAGTTGCGTGCAGCGGTTGGGGGTCAGTGAAGACCACTATGGGATCCTTGCTCGTTTGGTTGGCCAGTGCTATGGTGACCTCCTCAGCTGTATCCGAGCATTTGGCCCGGATAGTCACTGTCGCTGGTGCCGCCCCCTTGTGGTCTGTGACCCAAACCACGAAGGCGCTACATCCCGGGTACTTCACAGTGTCCACGTATCATGCCTGGGGGTCATTGCAGTAGTTGTTCCGGACATTGTTTACCCTGGCAAGTCGCCTTCCTCGATGATGTTCGGGATGCATGTTGCGAGGGATGCGCTGAACTTCCAGGCATTCGCAGATCTGCGAGGGTATCTTGTACTTCTGTTCGTCGTTGGGTTCTAAGATGGTTGTGTATCCTGTGCGTCAGAGGACTGCTCGTCCAGTGCGTTAGAGCTTGAGCCTCTCGACCTGGCTTATGAGGTGCGCTTTGGCGAGCTCTTCCCATATGTTGTGAACACCCATTTGAAGCAATCGATTTGTTGAAGCATTTGGTGGCAGTCCTAGGGCAAGCTTCGTGGCTTTCCATATAAGTAAATTCAGTTTTTGTTTCTCCGCCGTCTTTAGATTCAAGTAAGGAGTTCCGTATGTTATACGACTATATATAAGAGCTTGCACCATTCGCAAAGTGCCATGTTCTTTGAAGCCACTTGGGCAGTTGGCCACCCCTCGGATGAGGTGAGTGGGCTGTGCAACTGTGTTCTCAAGCCGAGGTAGGGTAGCAGAGCCGGACCCGTCGTTATTTATATGGAGCCCAAGCACTCGAAGCGAGTCAACTTGTGGTATTTGGATGCCTTGGAGAAAGATTTGTGGGTCAGATGCATCGTAACATGGTGGTCTGCCTCGTGTGCATGCGTCAAGGACTTGCAGTTAGGATTTTTCCGGAGCACATTGAAGACCGCATGTCTTGAGGTATCGTTAAATGATGTTAACCGCCTCCTGAAGGCGGTCATCTGTTCACTCGTGCTTGCGCCTCTCGTCCACAGAGTGATATGATCACTGATAAAGCATGATGTACCCTGGGATAGTATCCAAGAGGCGGGGAAGCTTGAGGAGCGCCACGTTTAAAAGGAGTGGTGAGGCCACTGAACCCTGTGGCGTACCTTTGTTAGGTAAGTGAAAAGGCTTGCTCCGAATGTTGGCTATCCCCACCGTGGCCGTACGGTTGGTGAGGAAAGCGAGCATATGGGCGTATGTTTTGGCACCGCAGCCGATGTCTTCTAAATCACAGAGGATGGCTTCATGACTCACGTTTTCAAAGGCACCCTTTAGGTCCAGAGCTAGAATTGAGGACTTACTGTGTTTGCTCAAATGGAGAAGAATTTCTTTTTCTGATTGGAATAGGGCGTCTTGTGAAGAGCATTTGACGGAAGCCGAACATGGTGTTACGAAAGTAACAACTTTCTACGAGGTGTGGGGTAAGCTACTCTAAAAGAACTTGTTGTTGGGCTAGTTGGTAGAGCATTTCGAAAAGTTAATTCGAGCGCGAAAACTTGACACGATCACTCACACACGCACACACCCATGCATCAAACCGCTGTGTGTGTTTGACGCATGGGTGTGTGCGTGTGTGAGTGATCGTGTCAAGTTTTCGCGCTCGAATTAACTTTCCGGCACAGGCTGTAAGGGAAACGGGGTGGAGATTAGCGATGGAAATCGACTTGTTAAGCTTGGGTACCATGGTCACCTCTGAGTGCTTCCAGGCTGTTGGTAGCTCGCCTTTAATCCAGCATTCATTATAGTATCGAAGGAGTGCCGTCAATGCCAGGGGTGGAAGCTGTCTTAGGTGCTTACTGGTGACTTTGTCTTTGTCCGGGTTAGTATTGCATGTCAGCTTAGTGAGGGCCGCATGTAACTCGGCCTGCGTAAATGGTTGATCTAGCCCTTTGTTTAGTACTCTTTGGTACTCCCCGGAGGTTGGATGGCCGTTGGAGGTAGCTTGCAGGTTATCAGAGTCACGTAACTTGGTCTCAAGTTCTTGCAGTAGCTGCTCCTCTGTGCCGTCATAGTTGAACTGTATGCCTTTGTTGGGTTTTCGTGTGGGCGTCGTCGATCAGGGCTCAAAGAATGTGTGAAGTTTTCTTTGTGCTCAGTGTCCCTTGTAGTTTATTGCAAAAGGACTGCCAGTTGTGGCTAGCTAGCTGTTCGGCGTACTCCTGTGCCTGAATTGTAAGCATGGCAATCTTACTTTAGAGCTTTCGATTGAGCCTTTGTTGTCGCCATAATTT